TACCTTAATAGTACAGCATGCACCTTCTGCACACTGTTATGCATACCGATATTTACCTTTCGATGCTCAGATAGAGAATGAGCTCCAATGCTAGTCTGGTAACGTTGATAGTGTCACTTGGTCAAGCTGTAAAGCTCTGGTAGATTTTAGGACGTAAAGGAGTAAGGGTTGTTGGTAGGTATTCATTACGAATAGCAGGATTAGAGGACCGATTTTGTTTTCGTACATTCAGCGTCTCCGGTACTGGCTGCGTGGATTGTACTGTGTACAGTATTAGGAATTCAAGTTAACTACCTAAATGAGTTTGTCCGTTGTGTAGTATACGTGGATTTTGATATCTAAGAACACTAAAGTGGTTTGAGTTTGTACACTTAAATCCGCGGAATGTAGAATGTTGGTATTTTTTTGGATTTGGGGATAGTTTTCTGGTGTTCATCCGAAGGAAGGGTTGCTTTTTTCACTAATTTGAATTTTTTATCCTTTATCAGCTTCAACTTTATTTAAACATTCATTCTGTAATGTTGATCACAAATAATTAGGTACTCCAATTCTATAGATAGTTTTCCCAACTTTTGTAATCCATAAACCAATAAATTTTTAAATATTCTACGAGTTTCATTAAAAATGGGACACATTCTGATGGGACATTCCTGAAATCAAAATGGCTCTATCGAATCATTATGTTTTAACAGAAATTTGTTCCCTTTCAGGCTATAAAAATTTATAATTTTCATAATTTTTGCGATCTTATTAGGATTGGAATAATAATTAGGAATATATTCTTTATATTTTATCCAACTAAAGTTTAGTTACTAAACTGTATGTAAAGAACAAAAATAATTAGGTTCATATTTATTACATTTGTACGTTGCAGTAACGTGTAACAAGGGTATTTTTGTATTACTAAGCATAAAATGAATAAAATTTTCGAAATTTTCTTGATGACATGTTGGCGAATAGAAAATATACTTTTTTAATTATCGTTTCTTCTAATACTTTGACGTTAACTTGGTCAAATAAATACTGTAGCAAGTTAAAAATGGCAAAAAAATTACTTGACAACACAATTAATATATGGGTTTTGGAATTTTCTTCTTTAACATATTTCGAAACTTTGGGATATAACATTACAGTTCTGCATTTTTCTCTTTAAAATAAAGTTAAGCAATTGCGAGCCAACTTAAGTAGTAATGCTCAATAAACAAAGTAATTGATTTTGATTCTGATCGCATCACTGTTTATTAATATTACTTACAATTAGACAGATGTTTTGTTTTTATTTTAGTCAATTACAAATTTTACTGTAGGCACTTTGATATTTGGTATCAAAAACATACTTAGATATTTCTATAAAACCAACCACTCTCTGTTGGTCTTTGCCAAAGGCAGAGTTAGAACCACAAAAATACAAAATATTTTTTTGAATATTTACTTTCTATTTTGGGTAATAATTTATTATTTATCTTGATGAATTCAATGCTAGTTGGTATATGTAGCCCACAGAGCAGTTATTTCCAGCAATATCAACATTTAGGAATCTTGTCTTTAGGGTTAGATATGTTTTGCATACTCAAATTTCTGGTATCGAAGAACATTGTTTGATTTGTTTGATTTCCTTTGATATACAGAAGATTGCTTATATTAAAAAAATATCACATTCATTTACTTAAATATTTCCGAAGACTTTTAATGTAGGTTGATGACATCAAAAGTCAATGTTTGATGAATACATCTCAGTAGTGATGACTTTTGAATACAGGGTGTTTAGAATAATTCTTAGGGATTACAGTATATAAAAAAAGGTTTTCTTCAAGATGCACTGCCCATTCTCTTTTGTTTTCAATGTACAAAACGTAGTGTATATTTTTTTAAATGGACTCTATTAATTTCGTCCAATGTAAAATAGTAACATTTTATCAAATTTTAATACATTACATTACGTATTTATGTAGAAATAAAGAGTACCTAAATAAGAAAATCATATCGATGATCCCAAAATCCTAATCTCAAATACCCTATGACCTTCTTCATCTGCAGTAGGTATAACAGAAGCCCTTAAAAAGTTATATTCTATGTTGACGTCTAAAAACACAATCTTACCAATATATTGATTATTTGTTGACATGTTCTTACATTATGTTCTATTACCTTTAATAATAATGGTGAGTGATTCTAAAACATAGTGAAGAAATTCTGAATGTATCATTAATGGACTGGACAATAAATCGAGTAAGACCGATATAACTACTGTCTGTTCTACTTAGGTAATATTTTATTACTAAAGCTTCCTTATTTATTACCTATGTGATAAAGATAAAAAAATATTTTTAAATAATTCAAAATACAACATACTAAGTAGTTCAGAAAACAGTGAAAATTGCTTTTGGAAAATAGAGGGAGACAAGAAAAATTATAAGCGGCTTGATAAAAACCATTTGGGGAATGTGGTGTAAGAAGAATATTTACTAAAATTTTCTTATCCCGCATTGTAGGGGTTCCCATATGAATAATATTAATTAAATAAATATGTCTATATTGTTGTAGCAAAAATGAACAATAAAAATAAAAAAAACTTACAATATTAAAACTTGTTAATTGGTTTCTACATACACACAAAAAACAATAACAATGCAACATAATTTAAACCTATTTTATATTTTGTAAATATTTACCTTCCAAACTGAGTTCGTAGTGCATATTGCTACATTCGATCTATAAATAATACATCAGTCTTTATCTGGCATTAAAGGATAATAAATCAATATAATTTATAATCTGTATATAGATTTTTGGGATATGGTTTTCCCGATATTCTTACAGCATAACTAAAATTAAAAAAACGACGTTTGATTAGAAATGCGAGATTATTATTTTCAATGTTTTGAAAAGAATATTATTAAGAGTTTACCATTTTCTAATTGACAAGTATTGCAGCATAAAATCATAACATAGTACTGACATACTCTGAAATCGGAAATATGATATAAATATTTCTTACATACTTGTTTTGAATTTAATTATGGAGAAGAATATCTTACATAAGATTTCACACTCTTCAAGGGAATAGGCTTTTTTGCGAGTGAAGTCGTATGTTGTAGTATGTGTAGTGAGTGAGTGAAGAGATTTCAGGTACTATATTAAAGAGATAGAAACAGTTATTATTAAAAGAGATAGAAACAGTATATACAAGTCAGATATTCACCAATATTCAGTCGCCAAAAAAGCCTTATGCTTCTACCTAGAACAAAGTTTTTCTCGATTTTGTTCATTACCTTAAGACACAATAATTGTTGGATACTGGAAAAGGAGAATATTTTAAAAATTGTCAAACAGAATCTTGGTTATGTTGTATGCTATTAATGGAATCGAGAAAATGATCATTTTTATGCCTTTTTTCATTAATTAATAACCACATTAAAATCTGAATGAGGAGTTCACAATTAAGTTATAGCATGGATTAAGTCTTCGAGTGTTTGTTGTTCTGTGAGATTCTTTTTGATGCCTGATGAGAGACGTATATAAAGCAGTTGCTCTCTTTTAGATGCCTGATCATGAAGCATGCTAGTACTTCCCTATTAGTTCTAGGAGGACATTATTAGAGTTTTCCTATAGTTTGAAGTGCTGAGTAATGTTGCATATTTTTGTTGGAAAGTTACTCCTGTTCCTTGGATTTGAATTTGTATGTGCAACACCTCACCAAGTCAGTTTTGTTTTATTTGCAAAGGCTGTCAACAAAGGTATGTAATACAAGTAGCCCGAGTCTTGCTCATAGTTCTTTCTTTTTTTCTTTCTTCTTCTGCTAAGACTTCCCAAATTAATTTACTATCTTTCGGGTTTTTTATGAATATATTTTTGGTTACTTTGCTACAAGTCTGTCATTCAGTCTTGAGTACCACGAAATTGGATGCTAATTCCTACGATTGCCATCAGGAGAATTAGATGTTGTTCCTTCTGCTCCTACCTATGACATCTAGCGTAGGTATTCTACAATGGTCATGCAAGTTAAATTACATACACTTACATATTGTTTCATGGTTATATATTTTTTTATACATAATCTCCCGATGTTAACTATGCATCTCAGTAATAACTATAGCCATTTTATCGCGTTCCAAACACTTATTGAACAAAATTGGATTTTCTAGGAAAAGATTACCTATGAATAATAGAGTTAACGTAGATTAATGTACTTTTTAAATATTAATGAAATTGTAATTTGCCTATGAGAAGTGTTAATATTGTTGGCTAATTGTAACCAGGTGGCGCTCTTCCGAAGGTACTTATCTTTGTTCATGAAGCCAACTAGTTCAACTTAAAGTATAAGGTTAAACCGAATTATTAGCATTTCGTTATTATTTATAATAAAGCCACAATTTTTTCCGTTTGATTTCTATGTATATATTACTTAAACTGTTTCATTTTGTTATAAATAATATGTAGGCAACTGTAAAAAGTAAAACTGCACTTCGAATACAGGACAGTCCCGAGGTAATGGTTCAAATGGGTAGATTCCCGAAACAAAAATATTGCGATTTAGCCGCACTTACCTTAGTCCAAAAGTTGATAGTTAAAGAGATACAGGGTGTTAAATGTAATATATTATTTTAGTTTATTTCCATTTATTTCTTAATGAATGCAAGTATCTACACAAAATTTTGGGGTTTGGGGTTGCTTGGGTAAAAAAATTGAAATTTGTTCACGTTAACTATCAACTTTTGGACTAAGGTAAGTTCGGTCAAATCGCTAAATTTTTGTTTGGGGAATCTACCCATGAATTTTGGCCCATTATCTCGGGATCACCCTGTATTACTGCAGTAAGTTAACAAAGTGAGGCAGATTATTCAGTATGAGGAAACAGAGGAATTCAAATCTCTTCCTTAACAGCTGGAAATTTTTCCATTCCATCTTATAAATTTTCTCTCCTCCTCTTTCAAAAGTTAATCCTGCGTTCAAATAGATAGGATAGATTAAACAGACAACATTAAGCCAGCTATATAAAAACTGTATGAAATAACATCAACATTTCATAAATAGTTATAGTCATCGTTTTAACTTGTACTTGTGTTGTATTTCTAAAATAAAATGAAACCAGGATGGTGCGGCTTGCCTGTTGGTAAAATATTTTGTTTTAAGTGTGAAGCTTATAGATTACATGTACTTTTCTAGATTACTACTGGAGGGAATATACAGGTTCCATACCGAGAGACGCTGTTGAGGGTGGTCGCGGTCCAAATAATTGTTTAACGTACATTGGCCAAGTTTCTGTTAGAGAACACGGAATTATTCCCGTCACAATATATCCAGGGAATACATCTGTAGTAGCAGCTGTATATGGAGTACATCATGTCAATCTTTATATAAAGGTAATCAAATATCTCAAGTATGTTCCGTATGTTCAAAAGGTTTAATTTTTACGAATATAACATCAAAAGCCTATGGGCATGGAATTTTTGCTTGAATGAAATTATGGAATGTAGATCATCATTCACTGCTGAAATTTGATGGATTATTATCAAGTAATTGTAGGAGATCTCCGCAATTGAAAGGGTTCTTATTTTTGGAACTAAATTAACTTAATAATCTATTTTACTAATGTTGTATAGGTTGTCTAAATATTTCTTGTACATTGGACTGTCATAGGGTCTTAGGGCCAATATGTAACTATTTAACTAAGCTGACTTCTACTCAATGCACGTCAAAGTTGGTAAATGATTTTAATTATTTCCAATTTACCTTAAAATACTTTATCCAATTCAATTGAAATTTGGTACGATCATATTCTTTTGAAGGTAATATTTTTGATACGATGTATTTAATCGCCATAAAAAACTTGACTTACGATAACGAAAAAGTAATACTTAGTGAAGTTCCGCAAAATAATAAGTGGGCTAGGCCATGGACCAGATCAGTGTTTGCTATAATACTAGATCAGTTCTTGTTTTGAGTATAACATCTTGAAACTCCTCTAGAAAGCGGTTTTTAAGATTTCAAACTGATTCAAGTAGTCACTGAATGAAAACACATTCGAATTCACGATATCATTGTATCCCTAACATTGTAAACTCGTACCCCAGGTTGCGAGAGAGTGTAGAACCATGACTCTCCGTGGGAATATGGGTTTCATACATCAGGGGTCCGAAAATACATGACTGTGGGGTGGCAGATTTACCTAATTAATAATACCACAATCCGGGGTTTCCAAGATGTATTACCAGGAAACTCGAAACTCTGTAGAAAAATGAATCTCATTCACCAGAGGTCCCAAACTATATTACTGTGAGTTAGAAGGCTTCCATAATACCATAATTTAATAACACAGTGGCACCATAACCCATTTATAGGAATAAACCCATGATCTGGGACATACAGATTTGTATTACAAAGTCCCCAGGACCTACAAAGAAAAATATAATAGTACTTCTTTGACTGAACAATCATTTTCTTGAGCTTTTGAGATCAAAATCTTTTAAATAACAATTTACAAGGTTATGACTTTATAGGGTTGCGGGGTGGTGGCGTTATGAAATTACGAGGTTATAGGTTTATGGTTTAATAAGGTCATGAATTCCAATGCTTTTCCAATCACCCACGACTCGAGTAGATTTGATATCTCGAAAATCTCTTTCTCGAGGAGAACTGATCCGAAAATTCTGACTTTATATTTGGATTCAGTGGGTCAAAATATAATAGGATACAGTTTAGTCTACAAGTCCTCTTTTTTTTTTGTGGCGCTGTGTGTAATTATTGGAAATGGTCAACATTTTTGGTAGATTCAGTTAAATTTTATGACTGTTCTTATGAGCGATATTAAATAAGATGAATTGGATGAAAAAATATTCTTTACAATTTGTGGAATAAGAAAAATCTGAAATACGCACCAGCGGTTTTAAGGTTTCACGGCCAGTGCTGATATTAAGTACCATGGTTTTTCGGGTTATTGCATTAATTTTCTGTAGCTAGCGATGGTCATGTAAAGGGTTTTCCAATTAGGGCGGGTCGATGTTGACAGTCTATGGCGGCTATGTTTTTTTTTTCGGCATCTGTCAAATATGTTGCTTATTATTCAGTCACTAATGCCAAATTATCATGTCAAGTTACAAGATTCAACAACACGTCCAAATGATAAAATTTTATTATCAAAATGAGCGTTCGTTAGTGCAAACGTTGCACGCGTTGCGCCCATTTTACGAGAGACGCGGTGGCGTTTCAAAGTTAACTCTTCAACGTTTGGTGGCCAAATTCGAGACGACCGGTTCGGTAAACAATCAACCAACACCCGTACGTCAAAGGAACGCCAGATCGGCCGAGAACATCGCCGCTGTCCGTGAAAGTGTGCAGAAGAACCCGAGGCAGTCTATTCCTCACCGTGCACAAGAACTCGGACTTTCGCGGACTTCAACTTGGCGAATTTTGCGTCGGTACTTGGGCCTGCACTCGTACAAGATCCAACTGACCCAGGAGTTACAAGTTAATGACCATAGACAACGCCGTTTGTTCGCTGACTGGGCTTCGGAACGTTTGGAAGAGGACCCCAATTTTGGCCGAAAAATCATCTTTAGCGACAAGGCGCACTTTGGCTATGTTAACAAGCAAAATTGCCGTATATGGGACGACGCCAACCCACACGAGGTTCACCAGGTGGCAATGCATCCACAAAAAGTTACTGTTTGGTGCGGATTTTGGGCCGGCGGCATCAATGGTCCGTTCTTCTTCGAAAACGACGTTGGTGAGGCCATCACCGTCAACAGCGAGCGCTACAGATCAATGATCACCAATTTCTTTTGGCCCAAATTGAACGATATGGACGTGGACGACATGTGGTTCCAACAGGACGGCGCTACGTGCCTCACAGCGACTGTCTCAATGGGTATTCTGCATGAACGATTTGAGGGTATGGTTATCTTTCGCAGAGGTAACGTGAATTGGCCACCAAGATCGTGCGATTTGACCATGCTTGATTCTTTCTTGTGGAGTTTTCTGAAGTACCAGGTCTACGCCAATAAGCCGCAATCGACCGATGCCCTCAAAATCAACATAACTCAGGCCATAGCTCAAATTCAGCCGGATCTATGCGGCAGTCATTTAAAATTGGACCTCTTGGATCCATGCTACTATGCGGAGCTGCGGCGGACATTTGAACGATGTCATATTCCATACATAATGGCATACATAGACCTTTCAAATAAAAAAATAATTCCGTTGATATCTCACACACAACTTGTTTTATTCCATATCAACATCGACCCGCCCTTATTGAAAAACCCTTTATATAGTATTCATTTCTAAAGAGCTTTATTAAAAAACAATCGACTACAAGTTTCTGAATTCCACACGGCATGGTTCTTATAATCAAATAGATCCATTTTTGGTGGTAATTAAATCAGATTTGTATCGGAAATGCTTTGGTGAAATTTAATTAGAAGTGGGGGTATTTTACTCATTTCTGCAAAAGCAATTAATTTGCCTTATTAAAGAGCGACATCTCTAGAAAAGTACCAAATTTCATTTAATTAATAATTGGAAAAAATAATTTAGTTCACTACTTTGACGCCCTCTAGTGACTAAACGAAGCAATATTATATGAAACTAAATTTAGATAAATTGTTTTATTCTGACCCGGAATATTGACACATCCTGTTCTTATAACGTGTTTTGAATTAATATTGGATATTGCAGATCTTATGCAGCTCTACAAGGGAAAGTCTACGATGGATTCAAGCAGATTCGGCAAATTTCCACGTACAAACGGCCAACCTACATTTGGTGCGAGGTGGTGTGGAGGGTGATTTACTGAGCTACATTGGCAGAATAAGGTTTCAAGGTGAGACGATAGTCGCCAAAGTTCGTCAGCATGGTGTCGGAAATGTAAGACTCTATTTTCCTGTGGGAGAAGAAGAAAAAAGTGCTGATTCCTTTGAGATTTTGGTATATAATCGTTAATACTATTGATTAATATCTTGGTTTTATAGTTACAAGTTGTAGTATGATTATAAGTTGTTTCATTTTATTTAAAAATAGTTTTTGTTAACAATATCTCAAAAAGGTAATGAGTGGACATATTTCAAATGTTAATTCATTCACCTTACTTTTTAGATTTACCAATCTTTAACAGCTTTGCTGATATTGAATATATATTCTCAATAAATTTAATAATAAAAATAAAATGTTTTACTTAACACCCAGATTTCGATGCAAGCTAAGCCACTTATTTTCCAAGATTTTGAATCATTTCGATATGTAGGTAGAGGTGTGGAAGATAACAAATTTAACAAACAATATTGGGAACATTTACTAATAAAACATTTTCTGTAGTTATTGATATTTCCTGCATTTTACAGTGTTCTTTATTTTGCTGAGAGCAGATAATAAAATTATTTTAATACTAAGTACTACTGTTACTCTTATTAAGTTCTAGTATTTGTTGAAACACAGTAATAAAAAAATGTACAACAAAAAGGCTGATTAGCGGTTCAGGTGGTGAAGTCATATTTATACTACAATAAAGGGTGATTCAAAAAACTTTCCGCTAATTTCTAGGGTAAATAGAATATTAAAAAATAATGTTAGTTTGGTTAATAAACATGTGTCCGAAAATGCCTCCTTCAGAAGATACGGCTCTGTAAAAGGGGCCCCAAAATTTCCTTTTTTTTTAATTATCTCTGAGACGGTTTAAGATAGCTAAATGAAATTTAGACCACAAATAGGTTTGATTAGGTCTTGAAAGTTACTGCTGACAAACTTTTAATATTTTGTACAGGACCATCCCTGGAGGGGGGGTGCCACTTATTTTGCCCCCAAACTTCTTTTTACGGGGACATTTTTAATATTTTGGTAAAAAATAAAATTTTTTTAACAATTTGCCATAAAAAAGGTACTCCTGCTTAAAGTAAAAAAAATTACCGGTTTTGGAGTTATTTGAGGTTTTAACTTGTTTTACCTAAAATAAGAAAATAATTTGGTTTACTTTTATTAAGTAGGCTTAGACTGCAGATTTTTCTTGTTTGACAGATTGGTTTGACACATTGTTGTTGATAGTTTTGGTTTGTTTAACAAGTAATAACGCTTTTAAAAGCTTTGAAAATGAATATGTACACTAATAGTGACTATACCGATATGTTGTTAACATTGGGGGAATGTAATGGTAATGCTAAAGCGGCGAAAAGAAGATATGCGGAAAAATTTCCAGGAAGAACTGTTCCGGATGCAAAAACATTTTTGAATTTAGAGAGAAGATGCCGTGATACTGGAACCTTTAAACCAAAAAAGGTAAATTCTGGAAGACCACGAGTGGCAAGAATTCCTCAAACAGAAGAAAATATTTTAAATGTAGTTGTTGCGGATCCTACGATAAGTGTAAGAAATGTGGCAAGGGCAAGTAACACAAGTATTTCTAGTGTACACCGTGTATTAAAAGAACAATTATTGCACCCATTTCACTACAGGCAAGTACAAGAATTATTGCCTGAAGATCTCTTTTTGAGAAGTGACTATTGCGAATTATTACAAGCAAGAAAGAGACAGAGTCCTGATTTTTTACAAAATATTCTTTTCACCGATGAATCAACTTTTACTAGACAAGGTATGTTTAATAGTCATAACAGTCACTTCTGGGCCGATGAAAATCCAAAGGTTAAACGTATAAGGCATTATCAACATAATTTTAAGTTGAATGTTTGGGCTTCTACAATAGGCAACCGCCTTGTTGCCTACCATATTTTTGATGGAAATTTAAATGGTGATGTTTACTATGAATTTTTGGATAATCGTTTATTTCCGTTATTAGAAGATTTGCCTCTTGATCTAAGAAGAAATATGTTTTTTATGCATGATGGGGCCCCACCTCATTTTAGTTTACAAGTTAGAAGATGGCTTAACGAACATTTCCCAAATCGTTGGATTGGTCGGGGTGCCGATGCTCCTATCCACTGGCCACCACGGTCCCCTGACCTAAATCCCTTGGATTTTGTTGTGTGGAGTTTAGTTAAAGAAAAAGTATATTCCAGCGAAATAAATTCCATTGAAGAACTTCAAGCAAGAGTTGAAAATAATTTAAGAATGTTAATTCAAGAACCACAGCCACTTGAAAGAATTATGTTTTCCCTAGAAAAACGTTTAAGATTATGTATTCGGGAACATGGTGGACATTTCGAACATTTAATGTAAAAATCCATACCTACTTATTCAATATTTTTCTGTTTGTTTTGTGTTATTTGTTGTTTTTTTAATAGTTTCCTTTGTTTATTCTGTGTAAGTGTCATGCAATTAAAACCTATTTTAAGCTCAAAATAATTTGCTCTAATTTATACTTGTTGTTTCTGAAACAGCCGTTATTCCCGTTTATTTATTATCATTATTTTATTTTTATTAATTCGGTCAGCATTACTTGCTAAAACCTCAAATAACTCCAAAACCGGTAATTTTTTTGACTTTAAGCAAGAGTACCTTTTTTATGGCAAATTGTTAAAAAAATATTATTTTTTACCAAAATATTAAAAATGTCCCCGTAAAAAAAAGTTTGGGGGCAAAATAAGTGGCACCCCCCCTCCAGGGACGGTCCTGTACAAAATATTAAAAGTTTGTCAGCAGTAACTTTCAAGACCTAATCAAACCTATTTGTGGTCTAAATTTCATTTAGCTATCTTAAACCGTCTCAGAGATAATTAAAAAAAAAGAATTTTTGGGGCCCCTTTTACAGAGCCGTATCTTCTGAAGGAGGCATTTTCGGACACATGTTTATTAACCAAACTAACATTATTTTTTAATATTCTATTTACCCTAGAAATTAGCGGAACGTTTTTTGAAACACCCTGTATAACAAAGCAGTGTGAACACTTTACAACTGTGCGCATATTACTTTTTCTGAAGCAACTTGCTTGCTCCGTTTCGGTATGTATTAAGCAATAGATTTGCTCTGTGTTGGTGCGTATTAGGTTTTTCACTAGCGTCACATTGCTAATGTTGGCATTAGTTTGCAATGGAACACAGATGGTACGTAGCCTAAGATCCACCAACTTGTACCTATATTCCAAAATACCCGTTAAGTAAGATAACAACAATTGAAACTAAGAATACAGATTTATAGCTTGAAATTAAGTAATGCAAATAACTCATTTTTACGATGTTTCTTCTTATAGATATAAAGTCACTTTTGTCTTAACAAGCCATATATTAACCATCCACAATGTATGCCCTTTATGAATCTATAAACTGAAATTAGGTAATTTAGGTACATTATTCCCATGTCGTTTTTTCTATTATTTTTTAAGTTATTTTTGATGTATAAAAACTACCTAAAATTATAAGAAAACAAGTAATTTCGATCATCCATAATTCCCTGAAATATTTTTCAAATAACAAGTAATAAATATACATTATATAAAAAACGTTATCATGAATTATCGATTACAGCACATCTAAACTAGGAAAATAGATGATCAATTTCATAATGTTTATTTTTTCCATTTAGCTACTTTTAATCCAGTGTGATAAAGGTATAAATTCATCATTTTTATCTTTTTTTTAAGTAAAATATTATGTACATTAATAAACAAACAACACTAAAAACAAATTATTTATACAGAGTATCCCAGTGTCAGCGTACAAAAATTTACCGGGTGGTAGACATCAAAATATTTTTCTGCCATGCACTCTTACTGAGTTACAGGATGTTGTTTAGAAAAAAATAATAACTTTCCGTAATAACTTCTTAAATCCCTTTCAGGGATTTAAGTAATTTTTTAGTGAAGTGTAAATCTATTAAAGGTCATTAAAACTACATGGTGTTTATTTCGATCTGACGCCAGGGATGACCTAGGCCAACTTGTCCTCAAGGTTGTCATAACTTTTGCATATCCTAGTTTTATGTAATTTGATTAAATTTTCCTGAATCTGCAATCGATTTCGAACAAAAAATGTGCTCTTATTTCATAGGTCAAAAATGAACTGTTTTTGAGTAAATTGTGTCTAAATTATCGACTGCATTAGTTCGTAGAAAAATGCATGTAAATATTTTATTTCTTGTTATCTAGTAGATACCTGTCATTATAAAGAACAAAGTTGTTTACCGTTGAGGTACAGTTTCCCAGCTGCGGCTCAATGAATATGAAGAAACTAAGCAAGTTTTAATAACCTTTAATAGATTTACGCGTCACCCAAAAATTACTTAAATCCCTGAAAGGGTGTTTGAGTTACTCCGGAAAATTGTTATTATTTTTTTCTAAACAACATCCTGTAATTTAGTCGCAGAAAAATATTTTGTGAGATTTAATCTTATTTTGATCAACCGGCTATTTACAATAAGTTTTTTGTCACAATTGGTGTTTATTTTCATGATGGGTATTAAAAATAATTATTTTTATTTATATTGAACCCTCAACATATAATTTCAATAATAAACGTACATTAATGTTAAGGATGGAAACTGATGCATTTCTGGTTGCCTAAATTATACCGAAAAATGGTAGAAAACAGCCTATTCTTTTATTCCAATATATCTTTTTAAAGCAAGGGAAGAAAGTAGTAAAATTTCATATCACATTTGGCAAAGTATAAATGAAGACAGGAAAGCAAAAATTAATTGGGATAGGTAAATAATTCGTGAGAAATTAATTTTTAAATATGAAGGTTTTTTGGACTTTTACAAACGAACGATTATTTCTTCATAGTATTATAGAATTATGCAATTTTTTATATAGTTGTCTTTAAATAAATAAACTGATTAGACTTTATTTCATAGTTTGTTCATCACTTTATTATTTAAAAAGTTATATTGGAATAAAATTATTAAAAAATATTCATTCATGAATAGCATTATCTCCGACTTTTAATTCGCTTGATTTGTAATAGATGTCGCACTAGTAAAAATTTATTTATGAATGGACTCGGGTTATTTTTAACGAACAGCTGTTGTATGTGGTTAATTTGGTATAACCTGATTCTGAATTGGTAGTCATGGTTTCTGTTAATTGATACGTAAATATTTAAANAATAATATGAAATAAAACTTTTAGTTGGCTGCAAATATTATAAATTTGTACAACCACTTGCCATCCTCCTTTTTTGTAAATATGTACATAATAATATGTAGAAGATAGAAAATAGAAATATTTTCAGAACAAAAAACCGGCGGCCGCAAATTGGAGTTTTTATTATTTTATTATCCTTCTCTTTTCATATGCAATTATGAGATAGCAAGAGAGTGGGATGGACGTATAGGCCGGACAACTCATTATCGTGCACGTGTGCGTACACCTGTCATTTTCTCGTTTTTTTTAGGTGTGTTTTGCCGGAATTTGAATGAAT